CAGCTGGAGTTATGCAGGGGTGCTCAAACAGGAAGATGAAGTTTTACTTTGTCGGCATGCAGCGTCAGTATTGTAGCTAATTATCGCTCCTGACTACCGACGATCTCCGATTCGCGCAAGTTGGCCGCCGACGGAGCAGTGTATTGGCTAGGGAAGCAGACGCACTGTTCTGCAGCCGCTTGCGTGGTCACGCTTGGGAACTACGCTGTGGTGTGGGATTCCCTTTTCTTCATGTTCTACAGATTACAGCCCGTAATCTTAGTAGGCCCCATGGTTAGAAAGCAGAAAGCGTGTTTGCTTAACTGCCTTTCTCGTGCAGAATAACTCCTCGGCATCACTCAAGACAAGGGGCAAGGAACAAAATGAACTAGTAGTGTTTCCTAGGAATTCGCCTAGAAAACTCTACATCCATAGTTTTTCCTTCCGTCACTTCTCCAAAACAGCATTCATCAAAAGTGGTTTAGCAGTACTTCCCGGATCGGAGGCACACCGGCTTTCTTCTCCAAGATTGCCAGTTGTTGCGCTAGTTGGTTTGACATCTTGCATAAGGGATAGCAGATTTGGCTGGCAAGAAAGAACATACTACAAAAAATACGCTCACTCGCAACTGAATTCACACCAAGAGAGCTGATGCACAAGCACCTTCACAACGCACGCTGTCACAAAACTATTTCCAAATCGCTAGAAAATCCTCTAACAACATAAATAAATAGCTTCAAGGTGGGTGGTTTGAACCAGTTTAAGCACTCAACTACTGTGAAGGAAGTTTGTCTTCTTCGTCATCAGATGCACCAAAGGTGCACTGATGGACACTCATTCTGCAATCAATCTGGTTCCCCTCTAGAATATCTTTCACGCCTCCCCTTCGCTCCACTCGCATCCCCTTCTTCCTCTAAAGCTGCCGTGCAAGCGCACTTTCTGCACTGCCCAGGAAAGCACGCCCCGTCATCTAGAGCCTTCAGCAAAATCCAGTGCACACTTAGTCTATCATTAGGACATCGGCCCGTTTGGACGGCGGAACCCTTACCGCAACCGAGTGGGTTTTTAGAGATCACTTCCGTATGCTGCTTTTCTTGGTTTGTTCCCTAGCAAGATCACGTAAACGGTAAAATTTAAAGGGTGCTGTGTAGACGCGGTTCACGCCTTGAATTGGCCCCATCCTCTTAAAGATGAGTGAAATAGCGTGAATATATAGGCCATGACAACCTACTTCTTAGGGCTTTGTAGGGGTGAAACACAGGGTGAAGTACCAACCTGCTTTAGAAGGGTAAATGCCACTGTCCCTTGTGCTCAGATTCGGGTGCACGTTAAAGAACTCCAGGTGGTCGAAATTTCCGGCGCCCTCCACTACAGCGTCTCTCATAATCAAATGGTCGTTTTGGGACGTTAAACCCCCATATCATTCAATCAAAATGTCAGTGCAATAAGCGAAGTGGAAGGGACGCCCGACGGTAAAAGGCGTGGAATGTGGTGGTCGAAGCTATGGCTTATCTATAAGTGCATGACTTGGTCAGAGCCAAATTGAGGCATGAGGTAGCAATGCCCAATATTGTTTTCCTCATAACATTGCACGCCAGCTCTCAAAAGAAACGCTTCGCGCGCTCTCCAGAGTCATCGCACCCGGCGACCTTCACCGACGTCCTCCCACTGGTCCCGCTCCTGATTAACTCCCTAGGACCAATCTTCCGACGTTCGTGGCCCTTATCACCCGACACTGAAATGCGATATTCGCATGGTCGCCACATTCACGGTGCACGACTCATCTGTACTCCCCGTGGCCTCGAGATTCTGCCTGCCTTGGGAGCATCAACCTGGGCCTCTACGTGGAGATCCACTCTTCGACACTCCGGAGCCATTCCGCAGACTCCTGTCTGACCAGCAGCCAACTGAGACACCACTAACTTACATGACGGAGGAGGCCCGGATGCTGCATTCAATATGCCGAGTCCTAAACATTTCCCGTGCACACATCAGGACAGCTGCCTCCTCTGCAGCCGCCTCTTTGCGGTAACAATTCCGAACACCATGACCCATACACCACAGCCACTACCGCTTCCAAGAACCGTCAAGGCCACAGTCGCCCACCTCCACTGCAGCCCGTCCGGTCCTACTGGTGCAAGGGAGCCCTCTGAGCCCCGATATCGGTGTCGCCTCCCAACTCTCCCGCCACCCCAGTCGATGACTTTCTCGACTTTTGGTAATAAGACCCCACTAATCTAGGGGGGGGGGGGGTACGGGGGCTCTGGCATGCTCGAAGATGATGAGAAACACGGGTGCACGTGCGCTCTACTGAACGAGGGCGTTCAATAGAGCCCGGACGTCAGGCAGTAAAGACGTACGTATTTTGTTGTTCTCGGCTTCCGTGCGTTCTATGAGGACTTCAGCCGACCATCGATCTCAGACCTATACTTCACTGCACTTGAGTGTTCAAAGTCAATAAATTCACCCACCTACAAGCTTTCTACTGAAGTTGTTACCCGATTTTTTGGAGATTTGGCGACATATTAGTGACAGTGTCTGTGGTGAATGGGATTGCGTATAAGTGCACTTTGCGTGAGCCTTTTTCAAAAAACAAAACCTGTTGTGATTTAGCGCCTTTTCGGTCGTGTGTCCTGTACGTCTCAACCGATACCGCGCTCTCTTTACAAGGAGCTGTCTGCCCCTCACCTGGCTTTACACAGCCTCCATGATCAGCCCACTGAGCGACGTTGTCTAGCGGCGAGCTCATCATGTGACGTCATGACGACGACATAATGATGAGGTTGTATATTTTGGTGATAATTCACATCTTCATAAAGTCATAACGCAACGTTATCCCGCGAACATGATATTTTGGATACTCGTGTTCTAGCCGATCTCAGTGACTGTAAATTAAGGGCAGGAAGAATAGTACCCATATTCATGAGCGCCAAGAAGGCGGGACACCAACAAACACCCGTAGGTAGAATACGCCGCTTGTAGAGCTTCCAAAGAGAAAGTTGCGAAGAATAAGAAAGCAGGGGTGAAGCCAATGAGAGGGGGGAAGGCCAAAACCTTCTCGGAGTTTTGCACTTTTGCTCGGGAGGAACCGTACCGATGACGCGAAGTTAACTACACCTCCGGCAGTGATTGCGCTTGTGCCACGATGCTTCCGGAAGCACCCGTTCTGTGCTCCTACAGGAGCGCGGCCACGCGTGCCGGACCATGAATGTCATGCATAGTACACCGTACTGCGAAGCGGATGCGTGTGCGGCCGCTGTTCCCTATAACAGTGGCCGCGCCTCTACATACATAAAGCATGGTAGACCTCTCCCCTTTCCCTCAGGCAAAATATTTCTGGCTACGCTACTGATAAGAAGACAGTCATTTTCCCATGCTGGAGAAAGGCTTAGCGGAAAATCGATTTTCCTAGCTTCTTTAATGGAGAACTAATTTTGCAAGAATACTTGGCTATGAAACACTATTTAAGTGATGCCTCCATACTTTATAATAGGTCGTTATACTAGGCTTCAAGGAAGCCCTGTCACATTCCTTCATCCGAATCGTCTTCGTTCTCGCCACCACCATTAGTCACCACCATCATCATCGTCCTCATTTATAGACATAGAAAGTAGAAGAAGAAGAAGAGGAAGTTCACCTCGACGTTCAGATAAGACGTTCAGACGTGTTCGGATCCAAAGCTTGCAAACGTACGTGAAAAAAAAGGATCCTCCACGCACCAACGGCGGACATGCGTCTGACTCGGCGTCCCGTCGTGGCTTTTCTGGCCTCCGCGGCAGCAGCGGTGGGCGCCCTGGCCCTGGTCGTGCTGCTCGTGCGCAAGATACGCGTCGTGCTCGCGGGCGAGGTCCTGTTGACCGAGGAGCGTGCCTCGTACACAGTTCGACTCGAGAAGCGCGTCTCCGTCACCCACGACGTGCGCCTGCTCCGGTTTGCCCTGAAGAGCCCCCACCAGGTGGGTGTATCGCTTTTCGCGTCGCAACTTAGCCTCCTGAAATAACCACACGTGTACGCAGGACTCGCTATACTAGCACTTCAAAAAAAATCGAGAAGACCCACATTATGAATCTAGGCGTTCGCTAGTGCACTGGCGCGTCATCATTCTTGTGCCTTGAGAAATTCCGTGTTGACATTACGTTTTGCTGGGCTGATGAAGTGAATATCGAAGGCACCATGGAAACGCGTGGTTCTGATCTGTTCCGTCAGGTGCTGTAACGTTCCCAGCTACTTAATAAAACCGTCTTCTCTTTCAATTACTGTTCGTGGCAGCTAGTTGGTGCTTGTCTTTAAACATATGGTCTGATATTGTATAGCATCCAGTGTAACTCCTAACATTAAACAGAATCGTTGATTTCGCGTGTGTTATCTTCAGAAGGCAGCTCTCTGGCGCCCGTTCCTTCGTTGAGCTGCTCTGGCGGTGTCGGCGTAACCAATAGAGCCAACGAGAATAAAAGAGAGACCGCCCCAAATAGCTTTCCACGACGGGAGCGAGCGAACTGTTGTGTTAGTGTCTGCAGTGTCTCGTACCTGCTCGCGCTATTTGACACCATGCAGTTCCCGCGGAAGGACTTGAAAAAGTGTGATGTCCTCGAGAAAAAAAAAAGCCATGCGTTGGTAGACGGGGCACGAAGGACGATGAAGCCAACGACGGTTGAAGCCAAATTGGCGTCAACCAATTATGAGCGTGTCCACGCCTAGTCTACGAGGGTGGGCGACTACAGCAATGTTTGCAGAGTGACCACGCGATATTTTTTTCGGGAATTCGCTGTTGAGCCATGGACTCAGAAGACGCGTCCGTCTGAGCATGCGCAACAGGAGACATCTCGGCGCGTGACGTCGTCATGAGACGGGGGAGTGTGCAGAAAGCGTTGTGTACAGTACTGTATAATTCTCGCACAATGTAATCAAGGGTGCTTGGACAAGACTCGTAGCAAAGGTAATTGCTTGTACCTTCCAGAAGCTTGGCTTCCGTGTGGGCGAGCACGTGCTGCTGTACGCGCGCATCGGTGGCCAGGACGGTGATGAGGCCGTACACGCCCGTCAGCCACGTGGACCATCGCGGCAGCTTCGACATCATGGTCAAAATCTACGCGGCTGGCGTGTCCAGGAAGTATCCCAACGGTGGCCTCATGAGCCAGTACTTGGACAGCCTCAAGCCGGGAGATAAGATGCAGGTACGTACGTGTACCCACTCAAGCCTCGTGGCAGCATTGGAGCAGAACGTAGGCACGAAGGGGACGGTTAAAATATAGCCACTTTTATATAATTCTGAACCCAAGACAGCTTCGCGCTTCAGGAGTTGAGGCAAAATGTGCTGAGAAAACAAACACGAAGTCGAAGTGCATGAGTGTTGGTGTTGGCGCGGAAAAGAAATGAATCGTTCATAATTATGTACCTCTCAAGCGCCGTGTTTATTTCGTTGTGAACGCTGCAGTTCAAAATTCCTGCTCCCTCTTGATATCATCTTCTGCTTGCGTCGCGCAAATTCCGGTTCATGTCTGACTCTTTTAATACTTTTGGTCCAGCATGCATGGAACGTTCAAATGCCTGCTACCACTCCAAATTTTATTGCTCAATCGCCTTTATATCCCACTTTTGTTCGCAGTCAAATTTGCTTTTAGGATCCTTACCATTACCCACTTTCAATCATAACCATTTCGGAGAGACGAACTTAGTGAAGTTTTGACTAACTTTCGGCTATACCTAAGCTTTTCATACATCTTCAATGGACTGGCACCTCAATGCATGTAGCATCTTGACAAAAGAAATAAACGTCTAAAGCCCTTCTTCGAACGTGATGAGCCAATGCGCCCACTATGATGTGACCAGCCCACACCACCACAAAAAGATGAATCGAGCGCACCTTCCTGAACAACTCTAAACCTAATTGACGCAACCTCTGCAAAAACTGACGAATGTACCGGGGACGTTAACTGGGATCTTTAATGTATACTGCAAGTGTGACATACATGTGAAGAAATAACGAAGTTAAAAAGACAACTTGCCGCAGGCAGGAACCGAACCGGCAACCTTCGGATTGCGGGCCCGATGGTCTTATTAATTGAGGTACGGCGGTGGTTGTCCTCTCACCGACTATGTCGAGTACTTGCGTGCATGCAAACCTGGGAGTGTCAGTATGCATGGCTGGCGGCCATTACGGGAAGTATGGAGCAGATTTTTTTTATGGCAGTAGGCTTACACTCGCTAACGTCCACTATGCTATTCCTCGGCTCCATTATCTGCTGATTTTCATTAAGGTTGTGACAAACAGGAGAGATGAGCTCCCAAAACTTCCCTTCATTCACTTAGAGCGAGGGTCTTGCTCCAGCAGACTTGCTGCCTTGAGGTGCATGGTATGCGAGGGATTAATAATCAGCTGCCAGCTCGTAATATAATCACGTGACACATGACGACAAAATGCAGTAAAAAGTGTCCCATACTCGCCATAATGGCTGTTATCGGCGTTGACTGACACTCCAACGTATATATATTGGGCAGCGGAATGACCGCCACTGTAGTTCGGCTGGTGGAGTATCGGGTGCGTTATTTGGTGGTCACAGGTTCAGGTCTTCACCGGTGGCAAATGGTCGTTTCGCCAGTTTTTTTTCGCAACAACCGCACAATAAATATCACTACAGATAAAGAGGGCACTTGACGTCTAAACCTGCCTGGGCTCAAGTTATCTGCTTGTTTTCATTATGGTTTTGTCAAACAAACGAAACAAGCTCATGCAAAGTTTATTTCTCCATTCTGAAGAGTATTCGCGATTTCATTAGCAAATTCAAGCCTTCGCCAATATCCGATTTAAACAAAAGGTGGCTAAGAAAAAAAAATCGAACAGAATTAAGCGTCGCTACAAGAAATAGCGAGTTGGGTGAAATGTGAAGTGTGAACATCGACATCAGTTCTTCTACATAGATTTAAACAAAGCACGAGAGATCTGCTACTTTAAATAAATTTGATATTCGTAATGCAGAAGCATAAAAAATTGTGGTCACTCTCGTCTAACGCGGTGCTTTGCTGCCGCAGATCCAGGGACCCAAGGGTCGCTTCGTCTACCAAGGACGCGGCAAGTTCGCCACGGCCGACGGACATCAGCTGCCGCTCGTCGCTCGACTGGGACTTGTGGCGGCAGGGAGCGGCGTGACCCCGATGCTGCAACTGCTGAGGCACCTGCTCGCCGACAACGCGGACCGGACGAGGGTCATGATGATCGACGTCAACTCCAGCGAGCAGGACATCATCGCACGCCAGGAACTGGACGATTACGCGAAGAACCACGCTGCCTTCAGGTTGGTATGCACTGAAATGCCTCTCGACACTGGCGGCCACTTCGCGAAGGATTCGGTGAAGGGCCCATTGTGCGTCGGTAAACATGCGAACTTATGCAGCTGCTCACTTTGTTTACGTGCTTGCAGCTGATGGTGATAAAATACGTCTGAGCACTTAGTAAAGGGCGGGCTCTTAAAACACTCGCTCAACGCACCAACTACTTAGACACTCAAATAAAACACGCCCTTAAAACACTCACTGCCACGCAATATTACGCGCACCAAAATATTTCTTCCATCATATGATGCTCTTATGCTCTTTTTTTTCGAAGCAGTTCAAGCAATGGTGTTGGTCTGTGGTAAAACACCTGCTTGCCACACCAACAGCCTGGATTCGAATCACAATCGAACTGAAGATATTTTAATTTATTTCCGACTTTCATGGTTTATTCATCTCCGACTTGATGGTTTTTCGCTCAGAAACACCGACGGAGACACCAAAATTTCTGCGAAAGAAAGCTTTGTAATGCCACTGCGTAACAGAGAAAAAGTGAGGTTGTAGCTTCGCAAAAAGGCTGATGTTTTGTGTTTGTTTTTAAATATGAAAAACTCAAGGCCCGTTAATTGCGGTTCTGTCCTCCCGAACAACAAGATTAATCGTTTGTGGTGATTCTTCGGTTTTCTGAAGTAAAAACCTATCATGCCTCGTCTGAGTGAAAACTAGCCGTTAGGTGTTGGCGTCAACACGAGTGTTCAAAAATAATCACACCACCTTCCCAAAGGGAACCCTGATAGTATGCGAAGCTGCAGCGTTGCGCATCGGTGGCATCACGGGTTGAACGGCGCTAACACGGGTGCTGCGGTGAGCGCTGGAAGATTTGTGAGCGGCGGTCGTGGTAATGGAGCGAGCAGCTGTAGCAGCAGGTGCTGTGAGCGAACAGACGAGGGGCGGCCGCTGCGGGTGTTGCGGTGAGTGGGCGGCAGGTGAGGGAGAGAGTGACGTGAGCTTGCACTGTGAGGATAGCAGGACGTCAACGCGCAGTTGCGGCGTGACCTACTTTGCACCGCTCCAACCACTGCGACGAGCGGAACAAAACGCATTGCGGCGCGTTCATGTGGAAGCACGGAGTGACAGCGTTACACAGGCTAGTCAAAGAGTTGTTTCGCATGAAATAAATATGTGATGACAAAATCCGGACGCCAGATATTGCCGAATTTTGAGGCGTCACATGACAGTCCCGGCAGAAAACCACCATGTGATCATAGGCTGACTAATCTCAGAGTCGTTGCAAAACACTGAGGTAACATATAGTTTGCCATGCCTGCGATCTCTGAGGCAGCATGAAACCACTTAAGGTGGCCGAGGGGTGGGGTGGTCAATACAGAGTCCTTAAATGGTCCTATCGACTGAGACAACGACGACAATTGTTCTCGCCTTCGAGTCCGCCTTTAGTGACCTTAACATGGTCAAGTAAAATTAATAAACCTGCTCGCCTGCTCCTGAAAATGTCGGTTCTTTTTTCAGGCATAAATGAACAAAAGCACCCTCAAAAATCAAACTATGGTGCTACAATGCTTTTATAAGACCAAACTAGGAATATTATAGTGTAGTTTGGGACCCGCGTTTAAAGAAATGTATTAGGAAGCTTGAGAGGATTCAGAAGAAGGTGGTTTACTTTATCTTTAATGCTTTACAGAGAGACTGGTTCACCAACAACAACCATGGGCACCAGTAAAATTCCTACTTCACAATACCGAAGAACAGTTAGCCGGGTGAAATTTGTACGCTCTTTGTTTTCGTAAATGTAAAATTAGTCTAGAAACTTACGTAAGAAATTTTAAGTAAGAAATTTTAAATTTTTACGTAAGAAGTTTAAGGCTAACTAGACATACATACACTTGCACTCTTGAATGCTTTGCACGTACTCACTTTTCGTTAACTCCTTTTGTCATGCCATGTCGAAACGTGTTACCTTTCGACGTGTTCCGTGAGAATGAAAATCCTGACTTTGAGAACATGTATCTTTGTTTTTAACCATGCAACAGGAGCTCTCGAGATTGTCTCACGTTGCATTTTATTTGCATTCTCTAGCTGCGATTTGCATTACCATGCTCTTATTTTATTCTATCTATTTGTTATGATGTGTTTTATTGCCTTGTCAAGTCTTATTGTTCAACTTCGTTTCCTACTGAAGTTCCACAGTAAATTACTTTTTATCATGCCCTCATACTTGGTCTTTCGACCGCAGTAGGCCATCAGAGAATAAATAAAATTAAAAAATTTAAACGAACATGTTAATTTTGCCTTCCTATATGTTTCAGTTAAAAACAATCAATGATGTAACCATTCATTATTTGGCTGCTTCCAGGGTTCAATATATATATTACCTAGTGAACATTTTAAAGGCAATTTGATTCTCTGCGCGCAGCATACGTCATGTGCTGAGCAGACCACCCCCGTACGAAGGCATGTTGGAGTACGTACCTGGTCCCCTGAACCAGGACATTCTCACAGAGCACCTTCCACCTCCAGACTCTGACACGATGGTGCTCTGCTGTGGACCACCCCGTCTCATCACCGAAATATGCGAGCCAGCACTTAGAGACATTGGACACAGGGCCAGTCAAGTGCTCTGCTTTTGAACGTCCGTAGTCGGATATGAAGTATGGACTGTGCCTTCGTGATTCATGACTGAAGAAATGTTTTATCTGAATGGTCGAGTTTGTTGACTTAAAATCAGACACTGCAGTAGGCAATGGTATTAGAAAATAATCAGGTGAATTAACAAGTGGTATGAGTTAACTATGAATGACTGACATATTAAACTATATACAGAAGCTGCTCGGTCAATCTTCACAATCTTCAGTTTTCCTAAAGTTGAAAATAATGACATCACAAAGTATGAAATAAATTTATGACGTCACAATAGGTTGTAACGTGATGTAAGCATTAGATGATATTTTTTGCGTCACTCGTTCCTTACGCCATTGGATGGTCGCACCGACGGTCAAATTATGGGTGTGGTGAGGTACCTAAGGTTTTCGCTTTAATAATCGAAGCTCTGCAATGAACGTTGAACTACCAGCTGGCAAGGAGTGAAAGCGCGACCTCACTCGCGAGAGACACCGCCGACGCACGCAGCTGTCTGCTAGCGAGTTTAGTGAAAAATATGCAGCCGATCCACGAGGCGATATATGATAATACAGTGAAGCTGCTTGTACGAATATGAAATGTTCATTGAACGATTACGGCGATGCTAGGTGGCTGCCGGGGCGCGCCAACAGATCACAGTTGCGTCAGTTGTGCCTCGCGTCAGACGCACTTTGCCTGCGTAGCGCCACTGTGCTAGCATGCTGTATCATGCAAGACGGCAGACGCACGCATCGCTTTCCAATCTCACCGATGCCGTCTCACTGCGCCCAGGCGTTCTCCGAACACGCTTCGGAATTTATAAAGTGACGGACGGGCCCACGGACGGACGAGCAGATACACGGATAAATGCGCCAATAGACGGACACATGCACGTATGGACGGACGTGCGGACGGGAACGTCGTCGTTGGTGTAGGACTTTCCATTGCTTCGGAGTCTTTCGCAGCCGCCGTTGCTATTTCCGTCCATAGCACACACTCATTGTACGTACTAGGGGAGGGGGGATCTTCGACTTGCCGCCATTGCTTCGCAGCCATTTGTTCCGCTGTGTCTTCTTCATCTTTAGCCGGTGAGTGGCAAGAAGTGGTATTAACCGAACTTATGTCGCACATGCTCGTTCAAGATAAGGAGAGAGAGAGAGAGAGAGGGAGACAACATTTATTTTTAAAAGAAGTAATTCATCGCTAGTAGTGCCCTTCTTTTAAGGCTCCACTGGCTATAGCGGCTAGGCGGGCCTGACCCAGGGTCGCCAGTTGGCTTCCCGGGGTCCGTTCAGTGAGTCGCGCCTCCAACGACCACCTATGTATTGGGCGTGTATGCCTATGTCGACTGTGGCAGGTCGCTCTGGACAGCTGTAGGCATATATCCCTTTAATGAGGGTAGTGCTGTGCGTCATTTTTGTTGTACCAGAGGTGAGTAGTGGAATTTACGAAACTTCCGTAGCACATGCTCGCTTACAGTCATAATAGTTTTCTGATATGCAGCACAGCTACACATAAATCTTTGATGACGATATATTCGTGTTTTATTCTATTTTTATGTACCAGTTGTGAGTCGCCAGATTGCCCAATTTCTGTGGCACATACCTGTTTGTGAAAGTAGTTTTCGCGTTGGCTTGATGCCACAGCCCGCTGACCGCACAAATTACAGCTGGCTAAAACTACTTCGACGTCAAGATGTGGTACAGAGTTACGGATTTCTGTGTATGCTCCTTCCTTAAACAACCACGTCATCCGCAGAGCATGCTTTATAG